AGGTTCCAAAACCTCTCCCCCAGGAGGCGTGGAATGGAAACCAGGTCTCCCTTTCAGATGACTAGAGATGGGGGAGCTGTCGGTCGGGTTCGCCCTAATTCGAGGGGGTCCTGCGATTCCCCAGAACTTATAGGATCACGTAGGGCCAAGCAAATATTCGCCTTCAAGAGAGCTCAATGTGTGCCTCCTTTGGCCGCGCGAGCTTGCGCATTTCGAGGGGGTTTGGAGTTGGCAGGTTCTTGAAAGGACAGCGCCAACACACACGCAGGTAAAGACAAACTTGTCAGCTGCCGCCAAGGGATCGCTGCTTCTATGCTGTCGGTCGAAGACGCATGGGGATGGTATTAAAGGAAGCGGTTGGTCTCGAGACTTTTCAAAGTCCAAGCTGGGCCACGAGCAGAGCATGAGCAAAGCATGTGCAGTGTGTCAGGGCCCAAGCAACAAGGCCTGAAAAGTCGTCGTTCTACGATCGCCAGCTCGGAAGACCGGACCAGCTCCAGCGACATCGTAACGAACACTGCATTCATACGAATGCCTTCATGATGGACTGCGAGAGCTGCTGTCAGCTGAGTGCCTAGTAAGAGTGTCATGCCCACGTGTGCTTGATGGCTCAAGAGTGCCCGACGTGGCCATGATCATGCTTCCACCTGGCCAGCCTTGTCAGCTAGGCTGGAGACGAGTGACTGTCCATTCTCGAATTGACCGTGATCAATCACATCCCACAGGTAGGGGGGTTTGGTAGCGGCGATGTGGTGGTGTGGTGCTGGATATTTCAGGCTTTGTCCAGATCGAAATTGTGCCCCCCATGTGGCAGGACTGTCCTTCTGGCGCATCAAAGGGCGAATGGGAGATTGACTTGGGCGAACCGCCTCTGAAGATGGATGGACGAGAGAGGAAGACGTGGATGGGGCAGTGAAGAGCGTTGGGGGCTCGTCGGTAAGGCTGAGATGCCCCAGCCACAATCCCACGATAGAACCTGCCTAAAGAAGGACGAGGGGCGCCCCTGCCAAGCCATCATAGCGTGACCAAGCGACGTCCAGACACCGGGTAGGAGCTGCCGGCGCAGCTATTGCATCTTGTGGCGATCTGGGGAAGATGCTTTCTTTGCTCTCGTTGTCATACCTCATCCATCCTCAACCTCGTCACTCCATCAACGAAGACCAGACACATCACTGGACACACCACATGCGGAGGCCAGGCCCCGTAATCCCCTTTCCGCGTGTTTCGAGCGCCGTGCTCCACCAGCTGACGACGCGCTGCCTCCCCACGTACCCACGTACCGGCCGGTCATGCCGCCCAACGGCCAGGATGCTCGCGGAACACCCCCACAAGCACGCGCTGACGTTTTATCCTCGAGATGGTCATGGCCGCATCGTTGCACCGGGCTGGACTAGGTATCGAGACACACGAGCAGTGCCGATCATGCCCGTCCTCGGCCCTTCTCCTTTGACTGTCCGCTCCGTGCTGGCACTTAAGTTCCGGCTCACATGGACATCATTCTGACCCCCCCCCTCCAACCGCCGTCAGGGACACCTGCACAATACTGCCACTCTTGACTCCCCTTCGGATACATCGCCAATCCCCATCTCGTTCTCACCCCGCCTCAGTTGGCGTTGGCCTGCGGTTATCCAAGCCCTGTTGCTCGTCACTACGGCCTCGTTCGCCGACCATTGCGAACGTGATACCTAATGGACGCAATTATTCGCTGTCCTCGCATGGTCCCTCTAACAAGAAGCCTCGAAGGCTCAGCGTCTTCTCTT